AAGTAATGTTGGAATTTCTTTCAGGGTACCAGTCAGCAGTCCCAGAGGAACGATTGTAATTGGTCAGTGTTTGGAGGCGTTGGCTTGAAATCTCGATTCTGATTGGCCAATATTGGCAAGGTCATGATATTCCCAGAGGGATTCCCAGAAATGTTCTTCATTCTGATAAGCTTTGAAACATGATTATTTTTTTTTTAATAAATTAGATTTCAAATTACCAATGCAATGTGTGAAAAGATTATCAAATTTGTATGGTTTGTTTGTCATTCAAACCCGAGTGCAAGGCGAATATCAAAAGATTAATTCCGTTTAACAAACACTCCTATCGTATGGCTGATGAGAATTCAACAGTTGCTTGATAGATAACGATAACAATTAACGCTTGTTAATGCTTAAAACCCTGACTTGGGGAGATATTAAACAAGAAGCATCGGTGGTTCAGTGGTAGAATTCTCGCCTGCCACGCGGGAGACCCGGGTTCAATTCCCAGCCGATGCAAGCTTTTTTTTTTTTTTTTTTTTTATATTTTTCATTTAAGCTATTTTATTGCCACCCCTTTCTTTATAAGTTAACTTGAATTTTGCATCATCAGAGTTGCGATGTCTAATTACAGGAGTTACTTTGAACATTTCCTTGCTGATCGCCTCGTGATTTATTCAAAATAAGTGGACATGACAATGATTTTCACGATTGTAGCATTATTTGGGCAATTTCCAAATATCTCGGCTTCGTTCTGGGTTGCCTACTTAACACGCTACATTGCTTTGGTTATATTTTTTTTTTCATTGTTTGACGATTCCTCTTCAATTTAAAACACTTTGTGTTGTTTTTGTTCCATGAAAGTTGTATTTTGTATTTTCGCGCCTAACATGCTACATTCTTTTGGTTATAATATTTTTATTGATTAATGATTTCTCTCCAAATTCAACAGATTTGTGTTACCTATCACGACCAATCACGAGATATAATTTCATCTCAATACAACAAATATTTCTGGATTTATCGTCTCCACAACGAGTGTTTTGTTTTTGTTCCATGAAAGTTGACTCAAATTCGACTTGTATTTTTTTGCGCTGAACACGCTATTGATGTTTTGGTCATAATATTTGTATTGATTAATGATTCCTCCTCAAATTCAATAGATTTGTGTTACCTTTAACGACCAATCACTAGATGTAATTTCACCTCAATGCAACAAATATTCCTGGATTTATCGTCTCCACAACGAGTGTGTTGTTTTTGATCCATGAAAGTTGACTCCAATTCGCCTTGTATTTTTCGTGCTTAACACGCTACATTGTTTTGGGCATGACATTTTTATTGATCAGTCATTCCTCTTCAAATTCTACAGATTTATGTTATCTTTTTAGTTTAATCAGCATACGAAATTTTAATTCAATGCACAATGTACTTCTTGTGTTATCGTCTGGAAAGCGAGAGTGTTGCTTTCGTGTCATGAAAGTTGACTCAAATTCGCCTTTTTTCGCGCTTAACACGCTACACTTTATTTCGGGTTTGGCCTATATTGTGTTTAATTGTTTGACGATTTCTCTCCAATTTCAAACTCTTTGTGTTACCTATAACGACCAATCACAAGATTGATCAGTGTTTTGAGGCGTTGGCTTTGTTTTGTGATGTTTGCAAATGTTGCTTATTACATTTAAACCTTTTTTAAGACTCTGCAGACCATGAACAGATCAGTAATTGAGGTAAGGTCCATTGCACATGGACACAAGTTCCTCATTCGTTTTGCTATTCATTTCATTCACTTTCACCCTTTTTGCAGTGAGTTCGTGCAGTGACCAGGACGTCTCCTCATCAATTCAAACCCACTGCAACAGTCGAACCCAGGTAGATTAGATAAAAAAAAAGAAGTGCAATTGTCATTTTGATCAAACCAGACTGAGTTTGGTATTTCTGCATGCAGCAGCAGCAATGATTTAATTACATTCAATCAATAATTTGAACCTTAAAGACATGATATAAACAAGCTTTACAGAACCATCATTACATCGTAAGAGCCTTTCCTTTATTTGAGTAAGAAATTATTATACAGAATTAAATGATAATCATTCCTGGATGTTGTTACCACGTTTTGTATTACATTTAATCCCACTGCTGTGTTAACTGCCAGATACGAAAAACCACAAAACTATATATGGAAAAACAGAAACGTGTTCAGGCTGGCGCCAGCAATGTCCATCTCTTAGAATTAACTGTTTAAGACTTTGAACAACATTGACTATACAATAATAACAAAACTTGACAACTACAGGTGTTAAAAGTGGAGTGTGTTCGTTGCTACTCGCAAGCGTGAAGTGATCTAGCTTCAATCCAAACACATACATGTGCCACTCCCTATTTACATTAGCAGTCCTAAACCACTGAACTGTGTGCTCCGTAGACATGGGTCATATGGCGGCAGCCTGAGGCATCTTAATATGCCCTCGACTCGACCACGTTGTAGCCGCGTCCTTCGCAGTTCAGCTTCTCAGCTGCGAGTAAGAATGATTAGCCTCCAAGCTATTATTATTATTATAATTTATAACACCCATGTTCTATTTGATACAGGTTGGCAGTTCGTCCCTCGTTTGCCCACATTCAAACGGATACGACGACACAACAACATGTCGCTCAACAGACATTCTGGACATTGTGAAGGCTTATTGTCAAGAGCGCTCTTGCAGTCTTCCCGTAAGTAGGTCGCACCTTGAACACACAGCTAAGTCTGTTATGCTCTTAATGTTCTTTAACTGTTTACACCTGTACTACATTGTATTATATTGTATCTATTCCCTGACGAATCCATGAAACCATACAGTACTTGGGCAGTTTTGGATAGTACAGGGAGTAGCAGGCAGGGTGGTTTGGGGCAGTACATACAGGGAGTAACAGACAGGGTGGTTTGGGGCAGTAGAGGGAGTAACAGGCAGGGTGGTTTGCCGGCAGTACAGGGAGTAACAAGTAGAGTGATTTTGGGCGTTACAGGGAGTAACAGGCAGGTACGTGGTTTGGGGCAGTACAGGGAGTAACAGGCAGGGCGGTTTGGGGCAGTACAGGGAGTAACAAGCATGGTGGTTTGGAGCGGTACAGGGAGTAACAGGCAGGGTGGTTTGGGCAGTACAGGGAGTAACAGACGGGTGGCTTGGGGCAGTACAGGGAGTAACAGGCAGGGTGGTTTGGGGCAGTACATACAGGGAGTAGCAGGCAGGGTGGTTTGGGGCAGTACAGGGAGTAACAAGCAGGGTGGTTTGGGGCAGTACAGGGAGTAACAGTCAGGGTGGTTTGGGGCAGTACAGGGAGTAACAAGTAGAGTGATTTTGGGCGTTACAGGGAGTAACAGGCAGGTACGTGGTTTGGGGCAGTACAGGGAGTAACAGGTAGGGCGGTTTGGGGCAGTACAGGGAGTAACAAGCATGGTGGTTTGGAAGGTACAGGGAGTAACAGCCAGGGTGGTTTGGGCAGTACAGGGAGTAACAGACGGGTGGATTGGGGCAGTACAGGGAGTAACAGGCAGGGTGGTTTGGGGCAGTACATACAGGGAGTAGCAGGCAGGGTGGTTTGGGGCAGTACAGGGAGTAACAAGCAGGGTGGTTTGGGGCAGTACAGGGAGTAACAGTCAGGGTGGTTTGGGGCAGTACAGGGAGTAACAAGCATGGTGGTTTGGAGCGGTACAGGGAGTAACAGGCAGGGTGGTTTGGGCAGTACAGGGAGTAACAGACGGGTGGCTTGGGGCAGTACAGGGAGTAACAGGCAGGGTGGTTTGGGGCAGTACATACAGGGAGTAGCAGGCAGGGTGGTTTGGGGCAGTACAGGGAGTAACAAGCAGGGTGGTTTGGGGCAGTACAGGGAGTAACAGTCAGGGTGGTTTGGGGCAGTACAGGGAGTAACAAGTAGAGTGATTTTGGGCGTTACAGGGAGTAACAGGCAGGTACGTGAGTAGTGTGTTGGGTCTTCATCGGACAAGACAAAAGAATTTTATGCATAATGCACAAAGACAATGGACTCATTAGCATATCAATGAAACTAATTAGCATATGGATGGATGATGTTAGCATAATAAAAGAGCGCATGGGCGTATGTAAGGTTTACCGGACAAGGGATGGGTCTAAAAAATGTATTGGACAAAGGGGGCAGCCCACCCGGCTAGATGGAATAGCGGACAGAGGAAGACCTGAACCGGAATAGCGGACAAAGAGAGATTTGAGCCGGATTATGAATGTCAAACGTTTGAAATGACCAAGACTATCATTTGTATTCATTCAAAGCAGTGTGCAAACAGTGGATAATAAAAACAAAATGCAGGCCACACCAACAGAGCGCCAATTAAGCCGACTAGCTGGAAATCTTGTGAAAAAATGTTTTTACTCTGGTAAAAATGGAGAGTGCGAGCGACCTTGGGAGAAGTTAATGATGAATCTCGGTCTATCAAGAGCCGCTATGTATAGACATTTAGAGGAAAACAAATTTTGTGAATGGGGGCAATGTTTTAACGCGCTTATACAGTTACTCATTTACTCATTTGATTAAATAATGAGTAATGATGAGTAACAAAATGAGTAAATGAGTAACGAAATGAGTAAATGAGTAACGAAATGAGTAAATGAGTAACGAAATGAGTAAATGAGTAACGAAATGAGTAAATGAGTAACGAAATGAGTAACGAAATGAGTAACCAAATGAGTAGCAAATGAGTGAATGAGTAACGAACTGAGTAAATGTGTAACGAAATGAGTAGCAAATGAGTGAATGAGTAACCAAATAAGTAGCAAATGAGTGAATGAGTAGCAAATGAGTAACCAAATAAGTGACGAAATGAGTAACCAAATGAGTAGCAAATGAGTGAATGAGTAACGAAATGAGTAAATGAGTAACGAACTGAGTAAATGAGTAACGAAATGAGTAAATGAGTAACGAAATGAGTAACCAAATAAGTAGATATATATTAAATGATTTCATCCGTTCCTTACCATTCGGAGATTAACCGTCAAAGCTTCAACATGAATACTATTTCTGCAGTCAAACCCTATGCTTGTCACCAGTGTGACAAACGCTTTGGACGGAGATATAACCTCTTGAGACATACCGAAAATGCACATGCTGAAGATGAATCCGACATAGACGAAGTTGAGGTGGATAATTCTGAACCTGAATTTAAAAGCAGTAGATTTGAAGATCCGGAAATGGAAAACTATGAAACTGAATCTACGTATGATGAAGAAGAAGATCTTGAGGAAAATGATTCCGAATCCGTCACGGAGGTGGAAGATGACGAATCATCTGATGAAGATGAGTCTAGTTCTGATTTGGAAGACAATGCAGCCTATTTAGACTGGTTGGGAGAGGCAAAAGAAGCGATTGATGAGATGTGGAGTGAAAAACATGAAAAGTACATCAACGAGGGCATAAGTGAAGATCAGGCCACGGAAAAGGCCAACAGGAAGACCTTGTGGGCAGTCAAGCGAATCTTTTTCAACAAATACAAAGATTTTTTGTCAAGTTACATACATCTGAAAGATAATGATACTCATCAAGAAATTATGGACGAGATCGAAGACAGAGTCAATCATTCCGGTATTCTACTGCCCACGGCTGTCAGCCGGGTCATATCTAAACACCAGGCCAAATTTGACGGCCTGTTCCATCAATTAGATGAAGATGACGTTAACGAGGAAGACAGTGACGATTAAAGACTAGTCAATGTTACATTAAGATCACTGATGATTTAATTGCAAAGAATACATTTAAAAACAAATTAAAAAAAAACACGAGTGTTTCATTGAGAAATGACGTCAATAAAGCAATGATGTTATCATGTATACACTTTCTGCAGTTTTTCTTTGTTGGTGTTGTCTTACAGTTAAACAATCGGGAAAGCCCTACTGTCAAGCAGTCATATAATTAGTGTTTGGGCGCCCTGTCAATAATCCCCGAAATGTTTACGGTCTTTAATGCTTCATGTATGGCTTTATCACGCACCGTGTCCAACTTTGGGACTTTGTTGGGGTAAAAAAGTTAGTTGCCTTATGACACTCTAAATCTTCAATATAAAATAGAAGTACGTACTATTGCTTTAACACAAAAAGACCTAGTTATATATATATATATCCTTGATTTTGTAAACAAGTCCGGCACGGTGGTACACTAGGGTTCGGTGCATTCCTGTACAGACAACGGTAGAGGGGTATTAAGGCTTGAAATCATGTTTAGTCAGTCAACTTCATTGACTTCTTTCACGTACAGATTTTTGAAGCTCCCGCACATGCCGTGCGCTGCCAATTAAGTCCCATTGTCCAATAAAGGGAGTCAGCGTTCACTACTGTTGCGTAACTCCTGGCAATCGATATTTAGAACGCTCAATAATCCATCCCCCACTGTACATGCAGGTAGGTTCAGTCGGTGAAAGATAATCGATATAATGAACACGTCTTGAAAGAATTACGTCTTTATGGATTAGGGAAACAGCGCTATCTGATCGGACGGTGTAAATATACAATGTGTACATGTAGGATGCAGTCAGTCCCTTAATACAGATGTACGTGTACATACTGTACACACCGAGCCGACCCTGAAAGTTTGTATTTTCTACGACCACCGCACACAGATATACGTACATAGATGGTTCTGGCGGTAATGTGGAAGAATACAGTCGACTCTCGTTATAACAAGGTCGATGGGACTAGCCAAATTACCTCTTTATTACCTCTTCTTTGTTATGAAAGGACAGCGAAACAAAGAAACACAAAGAGAACCTGAGATTTGGGACCTCAGAATTTGCTCTTTATAAGCAGAACCTCTTTATAAAAGTGCTCTTTATAATATAATGAGAGTCGACTGTATTGTGCAATTGTTATTGCACCTGGATAACACACGCGATATGACAAGGCAAATATCGGTGCAGAAGCACGGAGTTATTTATTTGCTCCATGATCGGTGCGGTCATCGAGGGGTGATTGACCATCGGTCTCCGTATGGAACGCATGGATTCATTAGCTCTCTGATCTATTATTAACACAATTCCTCCCTGGTTAAAACAATCATCGGACTATACCGTGCAAGTACGCTGTTCACCGGTGAGTGTTTGTTTACTATAAATACATAAATTAATTTTTTCAAACTTTTTTAAAACTCGACCAGAAGAAACTCTTGCATGTCTGTACACATACACGAACTTGTCTGTGTGGATTGCACAATGGACTACCGAGATGAGTCATTCAAAACAAATCTTAAGGGGTGTTTCATTCTAGACCATGTTCGCCGTACTCGATAATAATTTACTAAAAGATAAATTCTTCAATTAGACAATCATAATTTTTTCTTTCTTTCTTTCTTTCTTTTGGAAGGGGGGAAGGGTAATGGTTAACTGCAGCAAAAAAAATTGTAAGCGTTATGATCAATACCGCAAAATCGACAGGCATTCAATAATCGTTCAATCGTGGCATTTTTATATTCGCGTCGTTTCCACTCTATAAGCGCGTTAAAACATTGCCCCCATTCACAAAATTTGTTTTCCTCTAAATGTCTATACATAGCGGCTCTTGATAGACCGAGATTCATCATTAACATCTCCCAAGGTCGCTCGCACTCTCCATTTTTACCAGAGTAAAAACATTTTTTCACAAGATTTCCAGCTAGTCGGCTTAATTGGCGCTCTGTTGGTGTGGCCTGCATTTTGTTTTTATTATCCACTGTTTGCACACTGCTTTGAATGAATACAAATGATAGTCTTGGTCATTTCAAACGTTTGACATTCATAATCCGGCTCAAATCTCTCTTTGTCCGCTATTCCGGTTCAGGTCTTCCTCTGTCCGCTATTCCATCTAGCCGGGTGGGCTGCCCCCTTTGTCCAATACATTTTTTAGACCCATCCCTTGTCCGGTAAACCTTACATACGCCCATGCGCTCTTTTATTATGCTAACATCATCCATCCATATGCTAATTAGTTTCATTGATATGCTAATGAGTCCATTGTCTTTGTGCATTATGCATAAAATTCTTTTGTCTTGTCCGATGAAGACCCAACACACTACTTACGTGGTTTGGGGCAGTACAGGGAGTAACAGGTAGGGCGGTTTGGGGCAGTACAGGGAGTAACAAGCATGGTGGTTTGGAGCGGTACAGGGAGTAACAAGCATGGTGGTTTGGGGCAGTACAGGAAGTAACAGGCAGGGTGGTTTGGGGCAGTACAGGGAGTAACAGGCAGGGCGGTTTGGGACAGTCACAGGGAGTAACAGGCAGGATGGTTTGGGGCAGTACAGGGAGTAACAGGCAGGGCAGTTTGGGGCGGTACAGGGAGTAACAAGCAGGGTGGTTTGGGGCGTCACAGGGAGTAACAAGCAGGGTGGTTTGAGGCGGTACAGGGAGTAACAGACAGGGCGGTTCCGCGCGGCACTGAGAGTAATGGTACAGGGAGCATAGCAAGAATAATGCATGAATCGGATTACTTTTGATTGCAGACTGACCAGGAAGATTTAACATCAGATGAACCATGCAGCTCCATCAAGACCAAATGTCTAGAAGTCACATACAGCTGTGAAGGTTAGTTAGCAAAGGGAGGGGTGAACTTTGGCAATGGGGGTCCTTTTTCAGAGTTGTAATGACTCGAGTCATTGACTCAACTCGAGTCCCAACGGGTTATTGACTCGACTCGAGTCCCTCATTAGAAGACTTGACTTGACTCAAGTCCCAAAACTGTACTAAATATACATGCAGTGACGTACGGTACAAAGTTACTTATGTTCGCGTACTTTGCGTTACTGTCAAGTAATACAAATAATACATGTATCACAGACGCCCACCTCGTAGTCTTGTAATGTAGCAAACAAACTACCACGTGTTTCCCGGAAGCAGACTTTGCACGCATTTCCCAATTCTTGGTTTTATCATCGGTTTTGGGTGATTTCTTAAGCCCTTGATGGAACTAGACTAAATGTATGCACTGCTTTGAACAAAATATTTATATACATTTGTACAAAATCACACCAGTTTCGTATGTTGCAATTTTGTTTTGATGTTGTCAGCATAAAAAAAGAGATTCCAGACCTGAAGTCAAACCAGAGATAAAACCGACTTTTACTTCTTGCTCACTGTTGCTGTGTGGATCTTTAAACTTGTGATCTTTGTTATAAATGTCCAGCAGAAATTGCCTATATTTGGTACCAATGCAGCATAAACTTCGTTTATATCTTCATAATAAACTGGTGCCTTGTGGTCCTTTCTTCCATTCTGTAATTTATTACTTGGTGTTCAATATCAGTGACTTGAATTGACTCGAGCACTATGAAGAAGCTCCCAGTGTTGTTACAAATAGCGATTAGAGTTGCTATATATAGTTTAGTTTAATACAAAGCTCGCCCTCCGTTTAGAACGATCAATGATAATTATGCACAGTATTAAACTAATCACTAATTGATGGCACGCAACGTTGGCCTAAATGCGACGTGCCAGTAATAAAAGAGATTTCGTCTAATTGCGAAAAAAAATGACCCAACACGATGACGCTTCTAGTATTTAATCGTGCTTTTTTTTTCTTCCCTGGATTTTTTTCTACCACAAGAACACAATGAAGAGATTGACAAAGTGAAAATAAGCTATCAGACCAGACTTTATTAAACAATGAAACATAACATGTAGTTGACGGGAATTCAGAAACGTGTACATCATCAAGCAGTAAGGATTGCCCGACTTACTTCCCTGAATGCAAATTAGTCACATGGCACCAAGTTGTTGCCAAGTGGTGCCAAATTCACACTGGCTTGCCATCACTCGGGATATTATTTAAATTCGGTGCACGCATCAAAGACGACATCAAAGAAAAGTCCAAATCTATGTATTTACCATTTACCTTCACCAGAAGCAAGCTTCGTTGTCATGGTTGCCATTCGTACCTTCTTTATTGTAAAGCCCACATGTATATAATGGAGCAAAAAGCGTATTCTTGAGATATTTTTACGAGTAAATGGATTACTGTGAAGTCCTTGGTGCGAAATATGAAGCTTTTTCAATGATGCCGAAACATCTCTTTTGATGCCCAGAGTTCATTGTCAAAGCATAATAATTTCATCAGACTTTCGTGTTATAAAATGCATTTGCAAACGACAATCTAGTTCCCGGTTTCCCCAAAATTGCCTGAAAAGTGAACAATTAACAGTTTCATATAGGGTGTGTTCGTATTAGCACACCTGGGTCGACACGGGTCAGCCTCGTGAGCAAAGTCACTGGTGAAAATACGTCACACGCAAGCGTTGTTCATCCCTAGAAACGGACAAATATGGCAGCCGGACAGCGGGAATGTCAGGTGGACCCCAAAATCACCTTAATTTGAAGTCTAAAGGTAATTATTTATTAAGCTTATTGCAACTTTAGAGGCTATTATTCCAGCCCAACTTTTTGATTTGTGCAATTGACTGAAAAGCAGAAAATCTCAAACTAAAACCCAATCCGAAATGGCCGTTTTTGTCTGCGGCTACGGCCATGACGGCCGTTCCTACGGGCGTCACGTGAGGATCGTGATGGCCCGCGGTTAAGCGTTCGATTAGCCCGGCTGTTGTTGCTAACCCATCTGCCTTTACCCGAGTCGATCCGGGTGAGCTACTCCAACGCACCCATGATATTTTTAGGAGGTACGTGTAATACCTGCTTGAATCTTGATGATAACTGTGGATTTTATTGACAGTTTTGTTTAGCTCA